ACCTTTGTTAACAAAACGTTGCACTTCTCTATTCAAGTGAGTTTGAATTTGTAAGTAACCGTCTAACATTGTTGTAGTTAGTTGAAAGTGTTAAGTGACGGTCTAATTAAAAATTGACTACCACTCAACATTACTACGTAGCAAGAACAACCCCTCTTAAGCTTATCACGTTTTACTACAATGTTTAAAACAAATTCTTCTTTCAAACTATAAAAGTGAAAAGAATTATAATTGATCCTAACTTATACTAATTTATAAGTGCATCGTTTATTTTCGTAGTAGAAGGCTTGAAGCCTTCCGAAAGGTAAAGATCAAAGAATGAAATGGCATCCAACAAAGTGTGAATTAGTTCACTTGATTGACAAGGCATCAAATCAAAATGATGGTTGCATCAAAAGTGGCACAAACACACGTGCTCCCTCATAAAAGTTGGAATACAATTCAAACACACCAAGCGTGCAAATATGTATTTGATTGAATAGCTAGCACATAGATACCTAGAACGAGAAATGAGATATGACTTATATGAGCATAAGCCATCACGTTACACACAGCTAGAGAGCACTGACGCCACCATTTTCCTCACCCAATCGAACCTTCTCGTGTTAACTGCATGGTAAATAAATATGTATTTGTGACAACTTAGTTTTGGGAGATTCACTATTATAACATATGATCATCAGTTAATGTGATCATCAGTTAATGTGATCATCAGTCTCAACAGTTCCGATGTTTGGCTTGACTTGAGTTAAACACGTAAACAACACATATTAAGACGTGAGACATGTGTAGTTGTTGAGTTTAACAAGTTGATATCTACGATATCGAACATCAATCAAAACTAATTGAAAATGAATAAAGAAAACTCACGGTTCACCAAGTTCCGAAAACAATATCAAGTTGTGATCATTTAAGCACAGTTAGCCATATACTTGCCAGCTTTTTAGTGAATCATGAGAAAAAAATATCTCTCCATTACAATTTACATATAACTTAAACCCACTCCTCCCCACCCCAAATGAATAAATAACATAAAAGTTTTATATAAAAAAATTGGAAATAGAATGGAGCCATTCATTGCTGCTAGCCCCCTGAATCGTTGCAGAAATCCTTAGCCAAAAATAGAAAAGGCAATCTATTGCCAGAAGACATTAATAGGGTAAAGAGAGCTAAAACTGAAAAAACTGCCACAACAACAAAGAAACACCTAATGGTTTTTTCAGTTAAGAAAATGGGCCTCCACTAAGAAAGAAAAACCAGACGCTGCATGATATAAAAATGGGCCCACTCCCTTTCCTTTTATCTGATGTGACATGTGGAGTTGGCCTGGCAATGATTCATCAAGGGGCCCACAAATCATGTTCTAGTGCCAAGCCCACTAAAATGCCCACCATCCCCCACTCAAACTCTAAACATTCATCTTCCTCTAAGTCCCCCACCAAGCACCTTCTGAATATCCTCTCCCCCTTTTCTTTTTCTAGATTTGTATGGATTTTAATAATTTGTAGAGTGGGGCATTAAGAACAAGTAGAGATAGATCAAAAGCTAAATGTTGTTCTATTATGATTTTGAATTAAGCATTTAGTGGGTTGTTTGGAGCTGCCTAATTAAGGTAGCTTTCCATGTGTAGATGTCTAGGTTTTGAGTAATGTGCAATGTATGGGACTAATTTGGATTCACATCCACCCATAATCTTTAGTTTTTTCAATCTTCTTTTCTTTTTCTACTACTTTGTATCACTATCCACGCATAAAAAAAAATAGAGAAGCGTTGTCTAGATTTCTTTAAACAAACATATTTTCCGTGGAATTAGCAATGCCAAATGAGAGCGTGAAATCGGGAGTGCAAGAGAAAAGCACTATTTTTGTAGTTTGTGTTATGTTCCTCTTAAGGCCTTAACAAAGTGCCTAATTAAGCACATATGGGGCATGCAAGAAGATTTTCCACTTGATTATAATGGGATAATGAGGAAGTTGCTTTAAATTATCAATGATAGCTAAGTTTCTCCTCTAATATTCTACTAAAAGAATCTCCTGGTTTCTCTTTCCATTTTGTGGTTTTTTTATTTGGAAAAAAATCAAGCTAATTGTACTTGAGACAAATGGAAACATCCTAAGACAAAATCATTGCTATAAAATTAAGTAGCTTTACGAAGTTAGGCTAAGATAGATAACACATCGATGAATTCCCCATGCTTGCAAAGATCTTAAAGTGCCTTTAACTCATTATTTCTGTTAGTGCCTTGGGCACTAACTAGGATGTCTAAAGTCGAATTGATTGCCACGCATTGCTCTCATTGATGTTACATCTTAAATCCATTACTCTCCTATGATAAGGTGTATTTTGTCCTAATTCTACTTCAACGACAAATTAAATTTTCCATAAGCATTCTAATCGTAGCTTATTAGTTTGAAACTATGGAATTTATATCTTCTAACATTAAATGATTTCTTTTATGTTTTCGTCATGTTAAATACTATAAATCTTATCTTTTTAAAATTCTCCCATTTCGAAATCTCATGCTACTTATCCAAACACATTGTAAATAGCCACATTGTACATATGTCACACGACTAGCGTCCAATACCTTCGAAGAGATTGGAAAAACTCTTTATTTTGTTTTACCCCGAACATGGGATATTGTTTCTCATAAGTTTTATAATTTATGTCAAGGACATGCACGTTGCATTCCTGTCTTGTTTCTCATGTATACGCATGCATGAAATTTCTCACTTGTTAGCTTGCAAAATGAAACTTGATCAATCAACTTATATCGGCATGTTTGAGCCATGAACTGTTCTATATGGTTACAGCAGCTGCACTCAGTCACATACATGTCAGCTTCACGCATTTTTCCCTTCCACTTTGATCCCTAATAATTTCGTGCATAACCTTTTCTTTTACTACCTCCATCCATTACTTAATGATTGAGGTCCATGAAAAGATATGGAGAAGATGGTAAGCCAGATTTGACATAAAACCAAGCCTTTATTTCTTGTTCAATATTTGCATTATTCAAATAAAAACTTGGTCAGTGGGGATTTAGGGAAATCTTTGGCTTAAAAAGTCTGAGTCAAAATGATTCACATCCATGTATGCTAGGAACTCAAAGTTGTGAATAAATTATTTGACAGTACAATCATTGTACAATTGAACTGTGTTTTTTTATATTCTTCTTAACTCCATTTGGAGGAATCAAAGACAAATCCCCACACACAGCAAATGGGAAATTCTAATTTGATTTGCTCTCAAATTTGCTCATGTCTGGATTAGATATCTGCGCACCCAAGATATTGACAGGCAGAAGTTGAAGTACAAAATGCATTCCAAAGTTGGATGAGTAGAGTTTCACGTGCTTTTAAAAGAATGAAGAAAGAAATCATATCGCAGACACAATTATTTTGGATGTTACGGCACCAAGTAGGATCCTTTTGGTCATGATCTTTTGTAATTTAGTGGTTAATGTGGCACAAGAAGAGCCCTATGATTTTTATAGTCGGCATGTTTATCTTAAGATGTTATACTTGATGAAAGAGAAAACAGGGATGAGAACTTTTACGTGTTACATAAAAATTACGTAACTTTTGATTTGATTTAATTACCTTTCTAATACGAATGCTAAATCTTAAAGCAAAGTTATCAATGCTGTGTTTTCTTCATGACAAGGACAATGGCACACAGATTTGTGAGAGAATTATTATAACTAATTGATTGATGGATCCAAAAGAGGCTGCTAAATTTCAAAGATATCATCCAAAGATTCATGCTTCATCTAGTAAGCATAACCAGCTCCATTAACTTTTTTGGTGCAAATAGTCCATTAATTGCATTTGGCGAGGAAACGCAAGAATCAATTCTTATGTCCAATGTTCTTATATCTGCACCTTTAGAGATCATTTTGATACAAGATAACTCAGCTAAGTTGAAGAAAACTTGACAATGACTTCATCTCTCATCTAATCAATCTAACTTGATCAGCTGAAATCACATAATTTTACTTTTTCATATCGTCGAATGTAACTTAAAATTATATACTCCTTTTTTAATCAGTGGAGGCAGGGTAATTGAATCTTACGGATCTCTTCCTAATATTTGGAAGAAAAATATCACTAGATCAAGACCTAGTTAGTATATTTCAATTTTCGATTTTCGATTTCGACTCTTACAATGGTTTGTGTCTCGTGCCCAAGTTTTAACTACAAAGAAAGCCCAGCCCAAGTTTCTGTTGGTCTCATTCCCCTACCACAAAGCATTGGTAGCAAACCTCAACCAAAAAACAATACAAAAAAAACCCAGCCCATCAAGGAGTATGATGGAGTGAGCTTGATCTGAGCCCAAGCTGAAATCGCAGTCCGGCAGACTCGACCCGAACCTGAAATTCCCAAATCTAAAGTTTCGGGTTTTGTCCCAGCTCATTGGTACCTTCTTACATTACATTCCAACGTCAATCTAGACAGACAAGGACTTTATTTTCCGGCCAAAAAATCTAAAAATGTAACGAGAAAAAGGGAAAAAAAAAACTTAACGGAAAATACAGAGACTAGAATAGAATAGAAAATCCTTAAAATGCAAAAAAGAAAATAAATAAATATTGGCAAAAAAAAAGACCCGAATTCTCATTTCCCGGCAAGTGGCAAGAAACAACAAACAGCTCCCACCACCAATTTCTCCTAAAAAAAAACGAAAAACGAAAAAGAAAAAATAATTAAATATAAAAATATAAAAAACAAATACAAGAAGTTTCTGAAAGGCGAAAGCCAAAATCAACTTGGACGCCCCGTTCGCAATTTTCCTTTTTTTTCTTCAATAAAATCTGTGTCTCTGTCTCTCCTTGCTTTGAATTGCGACGGGGTGTTTAGGTTTCAATTCTATCAAATTTCAGAAATTGATTCAACTTCGGTTTCAGAGACATTAGGTGAGGGATTAGTGTAATAAATCGTGAAGAAAAATAAGATCTTTGAGATAGCGACAACAAATTGCGCAGAGAAGGAAGACCAAAAATGGAGAATATGATGAGCAAGCTTCGGAATTTGGACGCCTACCCCAAAATCAATGAAGATTTCTACAGTCGCACGCTCTCTGGTGGCGTCATCACTCTCGCCTCCTCCATTGTCATGCTCTTGCTCTTCCTCTCCGAGCTTCGTACGTCTCCTTCTTTTTTTTTTTTTTTTTTTTTTTTGTCTTTTTGTTTTATTTGTGTATGTTATATTCAATTTCTCTGTGTTAATAGATCTCCATGATTGTTTGGTTTGGTTTTGGAAGGAGGATCTATTCGCTTTCTAGGGTTTGTTGTTGAATTGCTCTGTTTGAATAATGTGGTAATAGGAACATAAAATGATTGAATTCTGAATTCCAAGCTATGTAAAGCTGCTTTTTTTTTTCTTTTTTTTTGGTGTGCATCCTAATGGATCATCGTGGAAACTCTTTTTGCATGAAGACTTATTATGTCAGAATGTTGTTCTTAATATGTTAAATTTTCATTACGTTGGTTCAGGGTTATATCTTCATGCGGTAACGGAAACAAGGCTTGTGGTAGATACTTCAAGAGGAGAAACACTACGTATCAATGTAATGTTTTTTTTTCTTCTACAAGAATCTAACTTTGAGATACGGTACGATTGTTCACTTAAACTAATGGGTTCATGTGCTTTTTGGCATTTACGAGTGCAGTTTGATGTAACCTTTTCTGCCCTTCCTTGTTCTATACTAAGTCTTGATGCCATGGATATCAGTGGCGAGCAGCATTTGGATGTAGTATGTATCACAATTGATCGGTGATGTGATATAACTTTTGCTTTCTACACTCAGTCACACACAATTATACCGTGCCCTACACTCGTCACCTTGTGCTTGTTTTTCAAGTTTGACTTGTTTATAATTTCTCGTTCTTATTTAATTGCAGAAGCATGACATAATTAAAAAAAGATTAGACTCCCATGGAAATGTTATAGAATCAAGGCCAGATGGAATTGGTGCACCCAAGGTTAGTAGTATAATGTTGTTTGAAGTACATTTCTTAGAACCGACTCTTTTGATTTACATTTGATACATTAAAAATATTCTGGAACTAACAAGTTCACCGAGATAGTTATTTCCTTTGGTCTGCAATTGCAATTTTGTAAATGAGTTGCATTGAGGATCTAGATAATTTCTCTTTGTTTTTACTCATCTGTCTCTCATTCTCTTATACCTGTTACTCCTTGACACAGATTGAGAAGCCCTTACAGAGACATGGTGGCAGGCTTGAGCACAACGAGACATACTGTGGTTCCTGTTATGGTGCAGAAGCGGTATGTTTGTTTGTCTGGATCCTTATGCTAGATTTGAGTTAGATATAATGTTGGAATTTGTTTGTGTATTCCTTACAGTGCAGTACCATGGGGAATGCTGAACTAGATAGGTGTTATTAATGCATCCTGTATCTGTTAATGATGCTGATTATGATGTGCAGCTGCGGTGTGGCACATGAACTTAAGCTATTTTCAGATCCAATTGTGTTCTAATTCCAAAGAACTAAATTTTCTAACAATAAACTAGAAAGATTCTCACACGTGTTTGCATTATGATGGAAGCTAGTACTGGGAAGATAGAAAACTGGGTTGCAGAGGATAAGGGTGAGTGTTTTGTTGAGAGAAGGAAGATGAGAGTAAAAACAGGAAACTGATTGGAAGTGGGGTAGTGTTCAATTATCATACTCTCCTTGTTTCATAAAATAGTGGAAGTATATTGAGCATCTCATTATCATATATTTCCTACAACAGAGTTTCTATAATAATATAGATATACTGATTCAATGCCTTAGTAGACTGTAATAGGATATGCAAAGGAAATGGCCTTTTATTTCTGTGAAGCTCTGTTCATTGTGTTGTATTTTCTATTTTAATGTTGTCTAAATACATATAGCTCACAATCACTTAATCTTAATCAACTACTTCAACTTGATTACATTCAGCTTCCAAGAGGAACAATTTCAGAAATAGCTTATACTTTGGGTGCTATATCTGTCACTTTGGCCTCCATCCATTGCTCTAGTTTTTCCTTTGTATTTCATTTCTCCTGGGCGTTCTGTATGCAGACAATGTTTTCATTTCGGATTTTGTGCTGCCATTTTTGAGAGGCATTGTAAATATAGCTGAAAGTTTGTTCATCGCAAGTGATAATCATTCTATACAAAGATGTTCGAGTCAAAGAATTTCCTTTAATTATGAGTTTCTTATTTTTCTAAGTTTGTTTATTACTGCAGGCTGATGAGGATTGTTGTAATTCCTGTGAAGACGTCCGTGAAGCTTACCGAAAGAAAGGTTGGGCAATTTCAAATCCAGATGTGATTGATCAGGTGGGTGAGCTTGAGATCTTGAATCTGAATGAGAAATGGAAATTGAGAAATATTTATTGTTGTGATGTCTATATGCGAGTATAAACTTAATCTTACGCATTTAGTGTTTCTAATGGTATGTGTTGCATAACAGTGCAAAAGAGAAGGTTTTTTGCAAAGAATTAAAGATGAAGAAGGTGAAGGATGCAATATATATGGATTCTTAGAAGTCAACAAGGTAGCTGGGAACTTCCATTTTGCACCTGGGAAAAGCTTTCAACAATCAAATGTTCATGTGCATGATCTGCTGGCATTTCAAAAGGATAGTTTCAATGTAAGACCTGATCCTGGATCTTTCTAGTTTTCTTTGTATGTGATATGGTTGTAATGAAAAGATTAAGAGATTTGTAATTTTATATGATAAGCAAATTTCCTTGAAATCAATTTTTATAAACTCCACCCTGCATTGTCAGAAAAGTCTCCTAATTAATTTATATTGCATGACACAGATTAGTCACACGATCAACAGATTGTCTTTTGGAGACTATTTCCCTGGTGTTGTAAATCCTCTTGATGGGTATGTTTTCTTCTCTTCCTTCATTTCCAAATCCAGTCAGCATTATTTATTTCTAAACATTTGAAAGCCTCTAGGTGTTAGCTATTTATACGTCATAATTATTGATATATGCTATATATTGGTTTTTTAACTATCAGCGTGCACTGGGCACAAGCAACACCAAGTGGAATGTATCAATATTTTATCAAGGTACAGTGCCTGCAGTGTTGCCTCTCAATTTTGTTAACTAGTATTCTTAGTCTAATGGAAAGAAACCAAAGAAACCATGGGTCTTATATTTGTTTTGTTCTTTTCCATACTAGTATAGTGTCTGCAGTTTATTTACTTATTTTCACCACAGCTTTTGAAATCCACTTGCGAAAGATTTAGAGCTTAATTTCCCAGGATTTACTATTTCTTGTTGTTAGTTATTATGTCAAATACATATGTATACACTTATACAGAGCTACATTTATGAGCATGTGCATGCACACACTCACGCGCATGCACACACAAAACATGGGTTTTAAGTTAGCAGGGGAAATGGGAGAAGGGGGGCTGGGGCGGGGAAGAGAGCTATTAGATTCCACGACATTTTTGCCCTAGATGTTTTTGTTGAAATTTTTGGACTACGGATATTTTTGTAGATAAAAGAGAATTAGTCCTTTTGCCCCTTAATCATTACATAGCATACTTCAGCTAGAAGTTGACAGTTGGGAATGTCTTACGTGAAAGCATGCTATTGGGGGGAAAACTGACTTATTTCAGAACTTACACATATTTGGTATTGAATGATGACACTGGTTTAACTTGCTGGCTATCTGCTTCATTTATACTTTCGCCCAAAACCTTCTTCTCTCCTTTGAGTTGAATTAAATATAAACCTCTGGGGCAATTGTGTATGGGTATATCATAGATCTTATCTTGAGTCCCCAATCATCCTAATTCCCTTACTCTCTGCATATTTAATTGTATTTGGTAATGTAGATACTCTTTAAACATATGTATTGCCTGTCTGCTCATACAATATATTCCACATATGAAAAGCGCATTTTTGGTGAAGCCATTTACAGCCACTCTTAATCTTCCATCTGATATAGTTGCCTTTTATCATTGGCTGTCTTTATTAGATCATGCCTTTTTCTTTAATGGTTTTAAGCATCCTTTTCATTTTGCAGGTTGTACCTACTGTGTATACAGACGTGAGTGGACACACTATCCAATCAAATCAGGTGCAGTAAACTCAAACTAAGAAAAGAATAAAAGATTATGCAGTTTCTGAATTTTGTTTGGTACTAGTGTAAGATGACATGTTCTGAACTAATAATTGGAATTTGCAGTTCTCTGTGACTGAACATTTTAGGGGTACAGAAGTAGGCAACCTTCAGTACCTTCCTGGAGTTTTTTTCTTCTATGATCTTTCTCCAATAAAGGTGGGTTTTACTGCTTATTCAATTCCAAAGTTTGTTCAAAAACTATTGTAAAGAGATATATATATATATATATATATATTTGTGCTGCTGCTGTTGAACATTATTCCTATGCGGCTGAGTTGCATGTTGCAGGTAACTTTCACAGAGGAGCATATTTCATTCTTGCACTTCCTGACAAACGTTTGTGCCATAGTAGGAGGTAATATAATTTCTCCCTCCCATCTTTGATTGATTCTATCGATTAGCGACATCTTACAGTTTCCATCTTTGGTTTTTCTGGTTATTTTCAAGGATTGTGAAGTTATATGGTTTCAGTTGTTAAATTTGTCATTTCCTTTTTCTATTGTTTAACCACCTTATTAACATCATTTACACTAGTCATCAGTCATCTTGAACTAAACCTTTTTCATCATGCTACGTTCCTTTGGCTCTGTTTTTAAATTGTAGGTCTCCTTATAATATTAGTACCTCTAGTCCACCTCGTGGAACATTTTATACAATGCTTTCTCTCTAATCGCTATTCCTGGTTTTTCTTCCCTTATTGTTTTGATTTTTTTTTTTTTTTTTTTTTTTTTTTTTTTTTTTCTGGTTCTGTATTTTTTACTATTTTTTTGGATTGGATAATATTCATTATTACCATGGTCAGAAGGCAATCAAGAAGAAGATGGAAATTGGCAAATTTAGTTGAATGGTTCCACTGGCATAATAGCTGCTGCTCTATTTGTTGGTCTGCCAGTCAATGGCTTTGGGGACAAAATCAAATCTAGGGATGAGGAAGCATGTAATGCGCTCATCATATGGGTTGGGCAGGGCATCGTTTAACCAGAGACTAAAGTTTTGCGATGAATGGCTTGATCAAGTGAATTAGGTTGAAATTCCTTAATTTAGACATGCCAAGTGCCAAAATGTTGAAACAGTTTTGTAATCACTGTCTTGATGTGCATAACTGCTTGAAAGATTTAAAAAAAAGGGCTTTTCCATTTCTTGCGGGATATCTCATTGGAAAATCAGAAACACTCTCTCCCTACCCCTACCTAATTACTCTTTCTTTTTTTAAATTTGCTTTTTTCACATTGGATGAAATTGAACTCGTGATGCATCATAGTTCTACCCATTTCTTCTACTGAATTTCATTTAATTAATCAATGCCATTGGATTTGCATCTGGTTAAGTAAACTAACTAAAACCGTTGTAGCATTTTCCTTTATGGCTATTAAATCGATACAAGCTTCAATCGTTTGTGTATTTAAGTCGGGGTTCGACCCGGTACGGCTCTGGTAGTCATGACAGACTGGGCACTTTCAAAAACGGGAATGACTCTCAGAAAATAGACATGACATTTCATTCCCAAGCAAGCTATTCAACTAACCAAACTCTATTGGAGTGGCAAAACTGGAATTAGGTTGCATGGTGAATGTATTTAAGAACTTGTTTTTGGTTAAAAGGCCAATACTTCAGAACTTAATTGTTGCAAATTCCACATGGGGATTAGCCTAGTGAAAAAAAGCCTTGACTTGAAGATTAGTGGTCTCAGGTTCAAATCGAACTCCATGACTCATTTGTAGTGCATGTGTGATACACAGGAAGGAGGAGTATCTCCTTACAGGCAGAAAAACTTACTTGTAATGAGAATAACATTATTTTGCTATCCTCAGCTAATAATACAATGACATGTGAAAAACTTATGTCATGTGTCATTGCGTCATTGACCGATATAGCAAAAAATGTTATCCTCGTTGCATGAATTGACTTGCATACCAATTGTCTCGAGTTCAAATCGAACCTCATTAACTCATTGGTAGTGCTTGTGTGATGCGCAAAAATGAGGAGTATCTGCTTACCTCTTTCCCTATAAGGAGATACTCTCCTTCCTATGAATCACAGTTTAACACATATGAAAAAATAATTTGTAAATAAAAAATAAAAGAAAATTATGCACACATGTCACACTGTTATTGACAATAATTTAAAAGCTCCTATTCATAGTAAAAAGGAAAATATTTTCCTATAAATAAATATAAAAAAATCTCACACGGACCCATTTCCCTTGAAATGCCAAAACAAAAAACAATGACACAAACCGCGTCGGCAGCACCAGAGAAAAAGGTGTAAAAGGCAGTCCATTCTCCAATCTCCGTCCATATATTGGAAGCTTTTTTCTATTTAGAATGATTTTCTTGAGATTCTTCCGCCCAGCTTATCCACAGATAAAAGATAGCCCCACTGATCTAATCACCTTTAACCTTTTTACCTTTCACAGCAAAATGCCAAAACCATTCCCATTCCCATTCCATTCCATTGGCTATCTTCGTTTCCCCATCGTCCAAAACAACCTTTGCACCGTTTCCACTACCCATTTCACACACCTTTTCCCTCTTCTTCAAGTCCTATATGCCATTGCTTTTGAAAATTATGTAAAGAACACAAGTATTTTATTGAGATTTTGATTTTAAAGAGATTTATGATTATTACTACCTAGACTTTAGTATCAACCCATGTTTTTTATTTTGTAAGAAAAATGGTACCCCACACGGTGACTTTTTCTTTTTCTTTGGGTCCTCCTTCCTTATCACTCTTTTCGTGTGGCTGTGACCTTTTTTCTCCAAAAGGCACGCTTGAAATTGGAAGAAATGGAAGGAAGAATAAGAATAAAGATGGATATATATATATATATCTCTCTCTCTCTCTATGGTGCTGACATCCAAAGAATAAGAACAATTTGTTTTGCCCTACTCTGCCTATCGTTTTAAGCAGTAGACGTATTTTTTTTTCAAAGAATTATGGGGCATTAACGATGACTCTGCAGTATCAATTGTGTTGATCTCGAGAAAGTCTTAAGTGTAACCGGTTGCATATAATCATATTTTGAAGCTTGATCTCTAATCTCATGGGATTCCTAGCTTTTAAGCTGGAGGAAACTCCAACCAAGTCCATACTGTTTTAGAGAAAAAAGAAAAGTTCATTGTTGAGAGAAAAGAAAAGTTTATTTGTTGATTTAGGGTTAAGGGAACGGGAAGGTGAGAGAGAATCAAAACTCTTGCAATGGTTATGGTTGTAAGGATGAAGTGTGTTTTATCAATAGAGCTATAAGCTCCTGCAAATCCATGTCAAAGTTCAAATAAAATAAAATAAAAACTAAACATAGCTATAGGCACCTAATAGCTTTTTAACTTCAGCTAAGAGAAGAAAATTGCAATATTTTGGATGAACATTTATGGAGTCTATCTTAATACTTAATAGCTGAAAAGTCAATATGTGTCTTAATACTCTGGTTTAAGCCCCTTAATCTTCAAGGCCGCCTCAATTATGATAAGATAGGTAAATGCTTATTCAACATACCAATGGCATTACAAAGGTATATAGTGCAACCACAGGATTTAATAACTAGTAAGTTCCAAATCTGGTAATTGTTATTTACGCTCCAAAACAGTCATCGTGTACTCCTCGTGTATAAAAATATAAAGCAAAAATTGAGCTTAAGAGAATGCAAAATAGTGTTGTTTGGAGTGTGATGATAGCAACATCTAAGTTCAATGTTGCATGTGCTTGGTGCACGCATAACCATTGACCAAACATGTGCATACCTTATAACTAAAGGATTTTGAATACTTGAAGTACTTCTGAGCTCCAATGGCGTCAATTATTTATTCAGAGTTGAATATTTGAGAGACAGGAGGAGGAGAATCGCTTCTGCCTCAAAAATGGTGCGACCAAGAAAACAGAGCAATGACTTAGCACATGCACTGCTTAATGGAAGTGATTATTGTCCTAACACCATGTGATTATCTTATAATAAGGCAACATTTTGTTTTGGTGTAATTTAATAATAGGCAAACAATTTGCTTACACATTAGTCAGGGTCCTCAGCGACTATGTTTCGTCCCATGAGGGCATGAATTAGGACAATATTCCTCATCTGATATTAATTTAATAATCACAATTGAAAATGGAGCTTCATTAATTAACTTTTACCAACCCCTAATTGAGCTTGTTTAGTGTACTATATGATTGATCACATGAAGAAAAATGAAAGTCTCGTTTGCAAGCATCTTCAAGGTTTGCAATTTATACAGTTGGCCGGAATTAGGAAATACGATATCATGGTAAACAAAAAATAATGTGAGAGAAACTTCCATGTAACGAAGTGTGACTTATGTTGTGAGGATAATTAGTCATTCATTTCTCTCACTCTCTCTCCTAATGCATCAAAATTTGTATATGTTTCATTTTACTCGTTTGTTCACGTACCTTAAAATGTGAGGAACGTCACTCATTTATTTCTCTCACTCTTTTTGTGTGCCTTATCACGCGAAAAGAATTATTTTGGTTAATCATCATGTCGAATTATTTTGGTTAATCATCATGTGAGACTCATTGTCTACACTAGGTTTAGGTAAATCTTTTAACAAAAAGCGACTCAAAAGGACAAATAGGAGAAAAACTTTGGTAACCATCATAATTGCTAGTGATCTTTTTGGTAAATAGTTGGCTGTAATTCTTGGAGTTCGATCTAGTGGGAAACCAAAGCAACAATGAATGATGAAGCTTTCCACCAACTCATGTTTAGGTCCGTGACTTGCTACAGAAACCAAACCAGAACAAAATTTCCAGATTCTTCGCTGCAGGCACCCATCAAGAAATCAGAAGTTCATATAGGTCCAAATGAACAAAACTTTCCAGATTCTTAGCCGCAAGGCGCCCATCACAAAATCTGAATTTCAGGTAGGTCCACATGAGGAGTTATATGACTACCCAGTGACTCAGCATCACATGTTCAATTTAATATCTTCCAGATTTTGTGTACACAAATGCCATTACGAATCAATAAAGTTTGAACACAAATGTACAACCTCATCCCAAAATTATCCTAAGTTCCTTATCCTAAGTTCCTCACAATCAAACTTCTTTGCATCCGAGTTCGATCTTCCATCCCGAAGAGAAATTTAGAATATCGATTTGTGAAAAGATTAAAAAAAAACAATAAAACCAAAGATCAACACAAATGGATGATATAATATGACAACAGAAGTACATAAAATGAGAATATTACATATATATAAAGAACTTCAATCACTCATGGCCTAGCAAGAAAAAAACCAGCTAACCATGATGAAGATTTTTTACATCATTGTATGAACATCAAACCCAATTTGACCGAAACTAAGAACTAGACTAAAATTACTACAATGTGTAACCCTGCAGATGCCAAAAACTTGATTGCAGTGGCCACCAGAAAAGAAGACCCCTAAACAAATTACTTATAAAGAGACTGACTGACCAAACTAAAACATACTCAATTACAATTAAACATGATTAATTAACGCTAATTAATTGAGGATGGACGCCCAATCAATCTCAGAAGGGTACTTCTCCAACATGGCTGTGCTTTCAGAACCACTGGCGTTTTCCCATGGCAAAAACTCTGCGTTGTCGGCGAAAGTCAGATCGGACAAAGGAGAAGAACCAGCAGACCCGTCGCTATCAGTCATCACCGGCGACGAGGAGGTCTCCACCTTCACCTCCGGCGGCGGCGCCGGAGCTCGGGTGGCGGAGGACCTCTTGCTGGTCTTTCCTGCTGCCTTCCCCTGTTTCTGGGTTTCAGCCAAGCCTTCGCAGATGGCTTGAAGCTTGGCGTCGACGGAGGAATGCAGAGGCTTGTACTCACCGAAATCGCCTCCAACGGAAGAGCCGTTGTGCCTGAGGTGCGGGAAATTGAGCCTAGCGAAGTCTCCTCTGAGCTTGTAAGCTGCCTTGTCGTAGGCCAAGGCGGCTTCTTCAGCTGTGTCGAAGGTGCCAAGCCATAGCCTGGTGCGGTTCTTTGGGAGTCTGATCTCAGCGACCCATTTGCCCCAATGGCGTTGCCTTACACCCCTGTAAAGCTTGGTGGGTTTTGGCGGCGAACCAGAAGAACCCACCTGCTTCATCGGGACGGGTTTGGGGCTGAGGAAGCTGAGGGTATGAGATTGGTGGTGGTTTTCTGGGAGAGTAATTTGTTGTTGCTGATTCTGATAGTTTTGCCAAGCCAGGTTGGGCTGGTTTTGAGCCTGGATCTGGACTTGGATCTGGTGGATCTGAGAAGGGGTTAGGTGGTTCAGCCCAATTGAGCCTGGTTGCTGCTGCTGCAGCTGCTCAAAGAACCCATCTGAAAACAGGGTCACGGAGGAGGAGGTGGAGCAACCATCTTGGTACAAATTGGGCTGATGGATTGTGGTGGTGGTGGGGATTGAAGAGGAGAGAGAGAGGTAGCTGTTGTTGTAGGAGGGGGAGGAAGAGGTAGAAGGGAAAGAAGGAAGAAAAGGGTTTGAGGTTGAAGAAGGAGAAGGGGTTGTGGATATGGAGCTGGGTGGCGATGAAGAAGCACCCTTCATAAAAGGCTCAAGTGCTTCCATCAGCTCACCCCTAAAGGGATCTGATGAAGATTGAAAAGCTCTGCTACTGTAGAAATCCATTGTAGCTGCCATGCCTCCTTCAAATCTCTCACAAATCACAAAACACTAGCAATTAAAAATTTAGACAAAACAAAAAGATAGGGGAAAATAAAATGCTGAAACTTGTACCTAGAAATCAACCTGTTCTTATCAAAATTAAAGAACAGATAGTGGGTTTTTACAGAAAATACAGACAAAACCCAGAAAATTTAGAAGAAAGAGATTTCAAATAAACAACCTCTTTTACTCCCAGAAAATTAAGAAGGAAAAAAGAAAAAACCAACCTTGAGGGACCAAAAATCACCCTCCAAACTGATTTTCAAAAGAAAAATAAAACTAAAAACTTAACCAAGCAGCAAAAGAAAAAAATAATAATTATATAAAACCTGGATCTCGATTCTGAAAACACCTGGCTTTCGAGAAATCCTTCTAAGTTTGCTTTTTGTTAATTTGAAAAACAAACCCAAAAATCATAACTTTGAAAGACAGATGATTAACAGAAAGGGATTCAGAGAAGCGGGGATTACAGAGAGGGGGGGAAAATAAAATTAAAGAAGAAAACCCAAGAACACAATCGCTCTGATCTCTCTCACACTGTTTTTTTTGCTTTTTTTTTGCTGTGAATATATCACTCGTCCTCACTGTGTTTTTGTCTCAGCACCTGCCTTCTTCTTCCAATATATAAAGACCCTGGGCCTCTTAATTACCTCTGCTAATCGCATCGTTAATCCCAATTACCTCACTCTAAGCCCCAACTTGCCGTTTTTTTAATTGTTACGTCCCTCTCTCACACAGTACCGGTTCTGTTCGTGACGTAAGGCTCATTCATTGAATGCACCAGAGCGAATGGAAGCCTGCCACGTATACTCTTCCATGCTTGATTTATGGACACGTGTCCTTCGCAAACGGACACCTGTCGGTGGACTAGTAGTTGGTCGTGTCTTAAATGTGTTGCCAAGCTTGTTGACCATTGTACAGCGTTCACACCTTCTTGTATTTTTGAGCCTTTGTCCTTTCCTTTCCTCTTTTTTGAGTTTTGACAAAACTCTCCACAAATAATACAGCCAATTAGGATAATAAAAATATAAAATTTCATAAATACATTCAAAATAAAGAAAGGGTTAGACAAATACGTGGTTCAGATTTGCAGCCTGACAATATAAATTTTTCTTCTTTATTTTCCTAACAGTTTAGCAATAAAATATTTCTCATGATGTTGTAGATGAATAAACAAACTAATCTTGATTGTAATGGTACACATTATATTATAGTTATTTACACTAATAATCTTTGAGATTTTCGGCTTTTTCTCAAACTACACGAGTAAACAAACTAATCTCGAATGTAAATATATATGTTATATTATCAAATATTATTATAAATGCGATTTATATGTGTGATCTAGGTTGATTGTCTGATATTATATCATAACATACGTAATGTTTTTATCTTTAAAAACATACTAGTATAAATTATTACAAATCGTTAGTTTGTGGTTCCAAACTGATCTTATCAATGAACAGCTGACAATCGTTATCTATGAATTCTTTAGTGCATGATCCAGAGTCTTCCTGTAAGGCATGATGATCCACTATGTTTGACATAGCCAAGTATGATATAAAATCTTATCCCCACGATAAGCTTAGTTCACCAAAGTGAGGAGAGTCGAAGTTGATGGACGGCTAGTGATGAAATAATTGGGTTACCACTATACCAACTCCCTTCCATTTTGTGGGTTGACAATTTTAGAAGTATATAATATTATTATTATTTAAATAATAAAAAAACATGTATATTATTTATAGGATGGTGTAATAGTGCCGGTATATATAAATTAGTGTAGGTTTCTAAATTTTGAATGATTAAGACAGCCCCACATTCTACAAGCAAATGGAAGCCTCTAGCTCTAGATGAAGATGATGATGAAAAACTCATATAATTAACTAATTAATCTTAATCTTCTCCACGATCTAATCTTCAAGCTTAATTATTAATTGCAATTATATATTTAATGGAAAGTCGCGTGCGCGTACCAAAAGACTAAACAAAAGTTCAACCATAGTTTGAGTGACACAGACATAAAGGTACTATGACAACCGTTGATGATCAGGAGATATGACACAAAAAGGAGGTATCTAATGTTATGATTACATATCGGATGGTGGAGGATGTACCTTTCTATTTCGTCTATCAGAAGCTAGACAAATGGTAAAGCTGGCTACATGGAAATACTTGACTTTGGGTTTGGATTTCTTAACTTTGGTTTTATTTTTGGTAACCACAGTTAGAAAGAGAATGGGGAAGATTTGAACCGCAAACAGTCGGATGTAGGATTAACTACTCTGAATCATTTAAAGAGGATTTACATTTGAATATTGGTTTCTCATAACAAAACTAAAAGAGGATTTACATTTGAACTCGATTTCCCCAATTGATTGGCTCAATTGGAGATACCAACATCAACCATGTCACACTACGTATAAAATACACTCAATCATTTTGTTCGTAATTTGAGAGTGGGCGGAGAATACGGCGTTCACTGGAGTGGGAGCCAACATGTCACGTGCAGGACCACGCGAGTGGGACAAGCTCTTCAATTGCGGCGCCAGACTCAGTCTAGAATTTCTCAACCCATCCCCACCAGCACATACGCCTTACGATGATGGTGAGTTCAGCCACGTGTCATGATCCAGACGGAACGTGGGATCCACGGATTACGGAACGGCGTGGGATCAGAAACACTGCAAGGCGTGCTAACTATTTTAATGGTTTATTGTGTGTGCGAGTGGAGAGTGATTAGAGCAAAAGAAACGTTTCGGGCAAGTTGGTTGGTTGACCGAATCGGGTTAAGCGAATCGCGAATGAATCTTGCGGCATGTCGGGCGGAACCCGAAGCCCAATTCTTTCCATGATGCCATGTTTTTCTCGCTGTTGAAGTCATGCCTTTGTCTTCAAGTCTTCCAAATTCTAACGTAAAGCAATCAATTTTTTTTTTTTTGTATTATTGTTTAGTTTTATTTTTTTATTTGGGACTGAAAATTAAGTTTGACATTTTTTATTTTAACCTGGACTTCATACCCCAAAAAAGAAAAAATTAAATAAATAAATTATTGCGTTGATAATCGACCAATACCAACTTAAGGTTGCGGCTCTTGTGTCTATAGTAGGTGGTAACCATGTTTGGGACCAATTGTGTCATGAGTGGATTTTTGATATTTTAGCTAGTGATATAAATCTTTATATTAGTCTTTAATTAAACTCCCTTCGTTTGGAAAAAAATAAATAAAAAATTAATGTGTTGTTGAGTAAACTTGTGATTTCCACTTTTACACTTAATAGTCTATTATCCAGGTTGTAATAGTGAACTTCAAATGATAGAACTTATAAAAATAATATCCAAAGGAATACCATTTGTAAAGTTGTTTGTTTTGTAAATCTATTTCAATACGATAAAAATTATTAAATGGTGGTAGTGGTGATGATGATGATAAGAGCGAATACGATGTCACTTGTAATAGGAGTTATAGTGACTATGAGCTCAGTGGTTTCGGTAGAAAAATGGCGACAGAGTTGGTGGTGCTAGTAGAACCGACGGTGTCAATGGTGATGGTAATGATATTGGTGAGGCAAATGTTGCGAATATTAATTAAAAAGTATAGTTTTTATGGAATGCAGGTAATGTAATGTGGTAAGAGGTACATCTTTACAACTCATTCTTACCTAATGTGGTGTATGATAACTAGCTTTTGACTTTCTTACCACAATCGCATGCATTATAATGTCAAATTCATGCTTCATTAGGTCAGGCGCCATGATTGAATCAACTTCAAGGCTGCATTCGTTATAATTTTTTAAGTTTTCTTTTGAATGATGCCTCAATATGCTTGTCACAATTCTGATTCTATATTTCTAATTGGCACAATTCAAAATGAGTCGAAATTTAAAGAAATGTGCTTTTGATAAATATTTGAGAAATAAATTTAATAACTTTGACAATATTTGTAGTAAAATAATTTTCTTAATATTTCGCAATATTAGACAAGAAGAGGGTACTCATCAATTTGAACGCAAGAAACTAGAGTCTTTTGAGTATTGGATGGATCAAAATTCACATCATATCAAATCATTCATGCATCCTATCTACTCCACTTATTTTTCATATGAGGCTCCCATTGCATTTACACATAACTCCAAGATTCTCCCTCATCTTATGAACAAGAATTCTAATATGAAAGCAATTACAATGTGATATTAGAGTAAGATAATCTGATAGAACTTGTTTTACGTAAGTTAAAATATGAACCGTCCTGTCCACTCATATTATAAATCATAAACAAATTATACCATCTCCTTGTATATTTCTCCAAATACATACCTCATTTGATATTAAAAAAATTTACATACCTCATTTAATAATTATAGACAAAAAAGAAAACAACTCATTCTAGGTTTAAAATATTCAGAATTATTTTCAGCACTTTCAAATATATTCAAAATGTCTCTTCAAAAAAAAAAAAAAAAAAAAAAATCTCATCTGTGTATGGAGTGCACATGATAAATATGTGGGGCCCATTGGAGCGTTTTTGACGCGGTTTCGCTCCTCTTTTCTCTCACACAACGGATCTTGCACTCAACGCCGCAGCCGTTACCAACATTTTATTTAAATTAATTAACTGAGGTTTTTTTTTGGGTCCAAGTAAACTGTGGTTAGTGAGCACCGGCCCTGACTGCCGTTATGTAGAAAGCTGCCAGACAATTTGGTTGGGAGCTTACCCAGTCCACGGTCTATTGTCCGTGTCAAATTTCGGTCTAGCAGAGCACTCAACTCACCTGCACCGCACGTGATATCAGATAACGCGGCTTTGACCAAATTCAGGTTTGATTTATTTATTTATTGACAGCTTTTTCCATCGTCTTATTTTCCATACATCACATCAAAATTTTATTTTCTTTATATACAAAAAAAAGCTTAAAAAGAAAAAACCCATTGTTTCCAAATTTTCTTAAGCGACAGGTGATCTTTGATTACTTGA